ATCAAGAATTAGAGGAGTTAAAACATGATAAGTATAAGGCTCTTAGAGCTCATAGAGATTTTAATCAAAGTCTGGATAGTTTCAGGTGTTTTAAAAATTGTTTTAAACATGTTTTCAGAGCATATTTCGGTAAACAGAAGGAGAAGTAAGGATTCTAAGTTAGTTTGGAGGATTTTGAAAAAGTGTAATTCTTCCAGTTGTATTTGAGACTAACTATACTAGCCACATAAAGAAACTGTGCATTGTCAAAATATTATCCCAGTTGATAAGTACGATAACAATGTCAAAAGGTACATATAAACTTAAATGGAGAGATCTTGAGACCATAACAAGTCGGGAGATTTTCAATTGAAAAGTCAATCACAATGACGTCACGAGTCCACAAGCGGGACAGGGGTCAAACGACCATGTCACAAGCTCAATAACAGGTATGTCCACCATCGGCATTGAGAACAGCAGTGCATCGACGACGCATAGAGCCTATCAAACGTGCAAGGAAGGCTTGTGGGATGTCACGCCAGATTCTCTCCAGTTCTGTTGCAAGGTCAAGGACGTTATCTGGCGGATGAGGAAGACGGCGTAGACGTCGATCCATCTCGTCCCAAACATGCTCCATCGGGGAGAGATCCTGTGAATTTGCAGGCCAAGGCAGTAAGTCAATGTTGTGGTGTTGCAAGAAATCCATAGCAACCCTTGCCGTATGAGGGCGGGCATTGTGCTGTTGGAATGTTAACCCAGGGCCATGACGTTGCAGAAAAGGAATTGCCACAGGTCGAAGAATCTGATCCCTCTAGCCCACACAAGTTAAGTTGCCTTGAACAATCACCAAAGGAGTTCTTTGGCTTGCTGTTATTCCACCCCAAATCATCACGGAACCACCACCAAAGCGATTCCTCTCTAAGACACAGGCCTGTGCATAACGTTCTCCCACGCGTCTATAGGCACGTTGACGTCCATCACTATGGGAAATGTTAAACCTGGACTCATCTGTAAAAACAACATTTCTCCACCAAAACAAGGGTCTGCGGACATGATTTCGGCACCACATTCGGCGAGCTTGTCGATGACGTTGTGTCAGGATAGGCCATATGGCGGGACGTCGTGGTCTGATCCCGTGATGACGTAAACGGTGTCGAACTGTGTTGGGGGTGGATACGGCGAAGTCCTGGGATGGTTCGGGCAGTCATCACTGCAGTCTGAAACCTGTGGCGAAGATGGGTCACCCTTATCCATATGTCCTGCCTTGGCGTTGTTACACGTGGACGTCCAGAACGTGGCCGATCGATGACATCATTTGTGTTCTGGTAGCGTCTCATGGTGTTCCGGTGGCAGTGGAAATGTGCAGCCACTTTTCGTTGAGACATTCACCCACGGACCATCCCAATGGCCTCATGACGTTGTGTTGACGTGAGCCTTGGCATGCTATGCGTTTCAATAGCCGTTTAATTTTGAACGATCGCAAGGGCAGGGGTTGAGCTTTCCAAAGTGACAGTATTGTGTGGCGACTAGTGGACTAGGTTGCTGGTAGCTTCATGGTCTAAGCTACGGGTAACTTAGAGTTATATAGTGCCGAGGATGTTTTTGGATCAATGGAGCTAATACAATATACCTGCGCCACTTTGTCCTTACATTCTAGTTAATCGAGGTCTCTGTTTAATAATCCACTTCAAGATGACGTCTTGTTTGAATATATCTCACCGTTTGATTGGCATTTCAGAAGTTGATGAACAATAAGAAAAGGCATGAATCTATACCGAAACGTCGCATGATAATATAATAAAGAAGTTGTTATCCATGACGTATCGTACCTTTTCTTACAGTTTTTGTTCACTTTTGTAATGACTGCAGCGACATGAGAATAGATCAAGGTACTTGTGAGCGAGTGAGTGAGTTAAAATTGTAAGTCATATCAGCAGTATTTCAGCCATATTGAGACTATATCAAGTTATATATTTCTAATAATTATAGGTAAATCAAATTACTTGAAACAAGGTAACGAAAATAAAGCTATCTAAAGCAATTCAGACCATCTGCTGTTTCATGTTTATTATCAATATTTACAAGGACGCAGTAAATGGAGTTAGAATAATGAGAATGTTTAAACTTCGATACCAATTTGTGTCAAAAGATACAATTGCAATGAATCTAATACACATCATGTTGTCAATTTCAGACAAGGATAAAAGATTTATGCCCTTGTAGTCTAGAATCAACCAATCAGGTAAAGACTAACGTGAATTCCTGAAATGTTAAAATATCAACTGACTGGCCTTTTGTACATACTTGATCACATTAGTCGCAGTATTTGCCACTTGAAGAGTTTCCCGACTTGCTGGAAGTTATTGCCGGACATCAAGGTCTTCAGTCTTCTGTGGTTGTGGTTGTTAGTGGTAATAGTCCGCTGTCCACCCGGTCTCCACATAGGTATTAATAGACAAGTGTTGTTTGTCTATCAGGTGGTGGTCTCCAGACATTGGTGTCCAAGTTTAATGTTTGCTGTCTATCCGGTGGTAGCCTCCAGACATTTGTGTACATAGCCTAGCGTCCACTATTTTCCTGACCCTTTGGCTTCGTGGTAGTTGCTCACCATCCGACACAACGGGTGACCCTCTGCTAGCACTCCAACATGATGTATGTGAGTGACTGTGTGAAACTGCCCCTTCAATTAATGGTTATTCTGATGTTTGCACATTCAACATCCAGCTCTAAACAATGTAGACCTATGACGACTGAGGGGGTCATTATCAGGAATGTTGGCATCAAGTTGTGCCAGCAAAACTGTGTTGAAAGTGGTCAATGCTTGAGTATTCAATACAATATTGACACATTGACCTGTCGTTTATTAAGTGGTGAATCAAGGAAGACCAAGGCGAAGGAAGGATTTGTCAGACTTGCAAGGGATAATTCAGATGTAAGTAAAGGCGTACACACCCTATCCATAATGATATAACATCTCTACTCAGCGCAGTTGTTCGGCTCCGGACTAATTATTAGCAGGTGTTTATGAATTTCACATATTGATGATCTCGGGTGTTCTTGAAGAGGAGCAAAGGCAAATAGATGTTAACCTGATGGTTCACGAGAACATAAATGTGAAAAAATGGACATGCGTCGAACACAGGGTCAAATTCTGATGCTTCTTAATTATTATCCTTCACATGCTCACCACAAGATACTTATATTCCTCAACTCTGCCTGTGGTTTCGTTATCAAATGCAATTGTTGCTTTCCGAAAATCAATAACCATCTCTTTTTGTTTCCTCAACATTTAATTCAAGGAAGTTGATTTTACAACAATCAAGAAATTTTGTAGATTTCAGAGCGATAGTCATTCCAAGAGTGTCTTACAAATCCAGCAAGTTCGGTGACTAAGGTCAATATTCTTGCAGATGCGTTACAATGCCCGGACAAGAATTGGACAATAGATTGGACGCATCATCAGCAAGCCTTTAGTCAGATAGCGACCAAATGGGAACAAGCAAATTGGAACATCTCCCAACGACCTATATAAGCCCAACGCCAGATACTCAAGCTTATGCAGTGGATACCAAGTCAACACCTTGGGAGGGAATCATTGCCTATGCATTTCCACCAATGGCGCTTATCCAACAAATTGTAGCCAAGACCAGGAACCGTCACATGATACTGTACCTGGTAGCACCAGCATGGTGTAAATGCGATCGAAATTTACAACAGCTCCGCCTACAAGTATGGACAGTATCCAACAACATCTCTCGTCAGCGGGATTTTCAACAGGAGTTTCCTCAGCTGGACCTCCAGGAGTGTTTATCATACCTTTTCTAGCTCCTTAACTGGACTGAAGCTTTTCGCCGAGGACGTTTCAGGCTTTGATTATCTTAGTAGGATCAGCCTGACACTGACATCACCAAGAGTACAGTGGCTGCATGGATGAAAACCACTACTAAGCCTGCCAATGCCATTGGGCAGATCATTAAGAAGATCATGGCAGCTTGCCAGTTGAGAACGTCCATCACTATTACCACGTTTTACCTGAGAGATGTGACCCAAGACTTGCAAGCTCTAACACGTTATTGTCCATCGTAGTTGGCAATTCTATCCTCATCACCTTGCATGGAAAGGGGGTGGGGTGGGGTGGGGATGTGGGGTAGGTTGGACTTTTACCCACCTCCCTGATTGATAAAACAGTGTGCGTCACAGACTAACTTGTTTATGATCCGGGAAAGCCTTTGTTGTTGCACATTGTTGAGTCCAAACGACTCAAATGGTAGACTCATATCCATATCTCCCTAGAAGTCACCAATCGCACAGACATGATCTCCCTTCCAACTGCTCTACAGTGTCACCAAGACCTTTAAACTAGGGGAAATTGAGATCACAATTTCAAAACTGAAATTGTCAAAGTTACAACTGACTTATTGAGGCTACATAACCGGCCCCGTAAATGCATAGATTAATGCCCTGTTAATCTAGCATTTAACTAGAACAAACAAACTACATGAATGGAATATGACTAGACCTGAGATTCAGTAAAACACTGACCAGCAATATCTATTCTGAAAGAACTCCCTCCAACAGACACAACTTGTCGATAGGTCTCAAAGCGTCGTACTTCCTGTACGTACAACCGCGTTATGTACAAGTCCATCTCTGCCAGGATAAGTGTCCATCACCTTTCCCAACGGCCATAGTTTCCTTGGAGTGGTTTCGTTATCAAGCAAAACGACGTCCCCAATCGAGATGTTTGTTTAGGCGTGACCCATTTTTGGCGTTGTTGTAATGTCGGTAAGTATTCTCTTGTCCATCTTTCCAGAATGAATCAGCTAAGTGCTGAACATTTTTCCATCTACGTCTGTACGCCTCAGTTTGGACCAGATCTAAGAAGGAATAGATGATTCGGTGGAATTGGCTCTGCATCACGATGATCGTCTGAGACGACAGCAATTGGGCGTCCATTTACGATTGACTCGATTTCACAAAAGAGAATGTTAAGTCCATCATCGTCCAGAGGCCAACGTGTGTTAAGGAGAGCATTCATCACTTTGCGCACACATCGTATGAGTCTTTCCCAAACCCCTCCCATGTGAGCAGCAGCAGGAGTTTCCTAGGACATCCTCGACGAGAAATGAATCTAACAAATCCATTGAGAAAAGAATCAGTGTCCAACCATCCGGCTTTTCTAGGTGTACTGCCCTTGTAGCGAGACAGGTAAAAATGCAACCGTATCGTTTGAGCTCAGACTGGCCCCGTTTAACAGTGAATGGCCCAAAGCAATAAAGTCCAACATTTGTGAAAGGTGGAACTCCAGGAGTTAACCGATCAGATGGAAGATCTGCCATCCTCTGGTTACCTGGTAACTGCTGATACCTTTTGCACTGAACACAACCACCGATGATTTTACTCAGAGTCTTTCTGCCCTTCAGTATCCAAAACTTGTACCTGATCAGAGATAAAACATGCTCTATTCCGGAATGTCCACTTACCTCATGGTAATATCTGATGTTCAATGTAGTGACGTGACTGTCCCTGGGAATTATCATGTTGTGCTTTCCTATTGCAGATACATGAGCTGAGTGTAATCGTCCACCAACACACAACACACGTTGCAAACTCAGTGTAGGCTCTAGACGGTACAGTGAACTTGTCCTTAAAACAGATTTCCCAGAAACCAACTGCTTCAACTCTGGTGTGTAAGCCTTTCTCTGAAGAACTTGTACTATGGTGATCTCAGCTTGATTCAATTCATGGACAGTGAGTAGACTCTCATACTTGCGACCCGTAAAGATCCGGGTAGAATAGGTCTTCAGCAACCCATGCTTGCACCAAAAGGCGACTATACTTGTCGTAAGAGGCGACTAAACGGAATCGGGTGGTCAGGCTCGCTGACTTGGTTGACATATGCCATTGGTTCCCGATTGCGCAGATTGATGCTCATGCTGTTAATCACTGGATTGTTTGGTCCAGACTCGATTATTTACAGACCGCCGCCATATAGCTGGAATATTGCTAAGTGCGGCGTAAAACTAAACTCTCTCACTCACTCACTCTCATACTTGCAACTTCCTTTGAGCTTTATCTTGTCGTACAAGACCTTCCTTAATCTCAGGATCCAAGCTACGCCCCTTTTAAGTCTGTACCAGGAGGAATACTTCTCAAACAGTGCATCCAAAGTGTCAGTATCATTGCTTGCCACAGCTGTGAAACTCTTCACGTCATTCTTGACTTCTTTATCATCCGCTGGAATGCTCATAGCAACGCTGACTTGAGTCGGCCAATCACACTCTGGTTTGGATAGAAACTCAGAACAGTGCTTCCATCTGCTTGAAGACACCATCTGCTCTGCTTCCAGACCACCTGATACATCATCTGGAGGGTTGTCAGAGCTTCCAACATATCTCCACTGGCTTGGATCCAAAATCTCGTGAATAAGAGCAATTCTGTTTGCAATGAATACATGAAAGCGCTTGCTCACATTCTTGATATACTGCAGTACAACAGTGCTGTCTGTCCAGAACACTGATCTGGATATTGCGATCTTTACTTCCTTGTGGAGCATCCGGTCCAACTTCACAGAAACGACAGCAGCTGACATCTCTAGATGCGGTATAGTCATCTGCTTCAGAGGTGCGAGACGAGATTTGCTAATGAGGAGCTCACAGTCCCCTTGTCCATCACAGATCACCTTCAGATAGGAAATGGCTCCGTACCCTGTTGAAGAAGCATCAGAGAAATGGCGTGATTTAAAGCTTACATCATTACATGATGGAGGAATGATAGATCTAGGTAAGTTGAAGCGTTCTATCTGTGGCAGATCGTTGATCCATTTTGTCCATTTCAGCATGTTAGCTTCACTCAACTTCTCATCCCAATCTTTCCGAAGTCCGGACTCGTCCTGGAATATCTTCTTAGCTAGTTAGATGTAGTGGCTTATAAAACCCAAGGGGTCATAGATGGAAGCAATGACATTCATCAATCCTCTTCTTGTGAATGGCATGTTCCGATCCTAAAGCCAAGCTCGTTGTTTTCAGTATCCCAGAGTTCTCCAAGGGCTCTCTCTGCAGGTAAAGATTCAACACCTTTGATGCTTTTCAACCTCTTTTCCTCAGGGATGGACTGAAGAACTCCCTGTTGTTACTCATCCATTTATGTAGTTTGAATCCTCCAAGTGCTGAATGTGATCAACCGCTTCTTTCTCTTTCATAAGGGCCTTCAAACAATCCTCCACATAAAAGTCTGAACTACATCAGCTTCACTGTGGGATCTGTTATCCTCTGCTGCTCGTCTCAGGGCAAAGCTTGCGCACCTTGGGCTCCAGACCCCTCCAAACAGATGTACAGTCATGCGGTATACTTGGGGTTGATCACATGCGGATTTTGAAAACTATACAAACCTGAGGTAATCCCGAACCTTTACTTGATGGAACATTCCTTCTATGTCCCCCACGATACCAACATGCCCTTCTCGAAAACACAAAAGAACTCCAATCACTTTAGATGCTTGATTGGCATTAACAGTTACTGTTCAGTTTTACCTGATGATGGGGCCAGAACAAGCCCTGAAACGTTGAACTCGAGAATAAAAAGAAGATGTAATCCAGAAAAAATCTCTATGTTCATCCAATCAGTTTGTTCGTCAAGTCAGGACCTTGATGAACCTGGTCATGTAGACTAGTCCCACAAAACTTTGCCGCACAATAAAAAATGATTCACAGTTTGTCGGGCTTGTTCTCGTTTACCACAGCATGATGCGGAATGTACCAAACTCCTTGTCCCAATCTGTTGATATCTTCTTCTGGTACCTTCTCTGCACAACCTTTATCAAGGAGATCCTGAATTCCAGATTTATACTTGACAAGCAGCTTATCATCTTTTTTCCAATCTGTTGATATCTTCTTCTGGTACCTTCTCTGCACAACCTTTATCAAGGAGATCCTGAATTCCAGATTTATACTTGTCAAGTAGCTTATCATCTTTAGCCAGACGTTTTCCGAGGGACTCCAATCTCGACTCAGCTACAGAATAGTTGTTCTTCACATTGGGTGACCGGTTCTTAAAAGGAATGCTCATTTGGTAGTGACCATCAACAAGTCTACAGATTCATCCCATATCTTGCTTGTCTTCTTGTCCTCTTGAGACATCTCAGCTTCAGCATATGACTCACACACGTCCATCTTCCACAATCGTTCAACCTGTACATCTAGTCTCTTATCCATGTTCACAAAGTTGGATATGACTTTACCACAACTACCATCTCCGAGCGGTCCATTCAAAACCCAGTTCAGTCCTTACAGCATATGGCTCATTGTCCTTGCCACTTCGCACTTCAATGGGTGTTAACGCCACAGGGATATCTTGACCAATAATTACTCCATTTACTCTGTCAACGAGGGGAAACTTTAGGTCATTTAAATGGCTCCACTCATCAACATTCTGGTGATTATCTGACTCAAAATCACATAGTGATAGATTGGAAGTTCCGAACACAAGGGGCATAGATATGGTTGTTCTATTTCCGGCATTTGTTACCCATAAGGCATCCACTCTTGTATGTGTCTTATTGTTCTTCTGTTTATAAGTGTTGTCAACGATAATGCTGTTTCAAAACCTTCAATACCTAGTTCGTCAAGAAGTTGATTAGAACAGAACGAATTGGTGCTCCCACTATCAAGTACGACATATGTCCATATCTTTCTCTCACTGTTCTTTGTGGACACCTGCACACGAACAACTGGAAGAGCTACTCTTGGCACCATTGTCTCTATGTTGCATGCAGAACTTGCAACTTCAGTGGGTTCGTTGTTGGGCATGGCTGAGTTTGGATCCTCCCCTGTCAGGTAAGTTTGTTCTGTTTCAGAATCCTGTCGGTAAGTATGTTCCTTTCAGAGTCTGGTCTGACAAGAAGATGGATCAATCTTGAATGCTTCCTTTGCCAGCCTTGTACATTGCATTTGCTTGGTTTGTAGCATTTTCTGGATGTATGGTTCTTCCAGAAACAATTAAAGCAGAGTCTTTGGTTTACCACATACTCATACCTCTTCTCTGGCTTTAACTTTCTGAACCTTTTGCACATGAAAAGCGCATGTTCATTAAAACACATCGGACATTTTGGCGAGGATTGCTTGCTGTAGGTGGTTCGAACGCTATAGTTGAGGCCTTTCCTCTCTGACAAACAATCATCCCTCTTCCTATAAATAAATAAACCCCAATACAGGGTCATTCGCCTCAACTGCCGCCTTGAGGACGAAGTCCACCAGGCGCGCAATATCAGGGTATTTACCTGTGTGTTCAAGTTCCTCAACCGCTTTCCTCCTCCACCTTCCCTGCAGGTATTGTGGTAGCCTTGTAACAATCTTCACCATGCGCATCTGGTTGCTACGTCATTTACCTTGCCCATAGCCTGAAGAGTTAACATCGCACTCCAGAAATCGTCGGCATATTTACGTAATCCTTCCACATCACAGATTTCTTCACCCAGGCGTTAGCTATAACATGTTCACTACCAAAGCGTGACCTCAAAAGCCTCAAGGCTTCAACATACCCCTCCTCTGGATCCATCACAGAACAACATTCTATAACTGACAAAGCATTGCCTGTACAATAATTCATAACATGTTCAACTTGGAACCACTACTGACCGAGGTTTCCGCTACATTGGTTTGAAATGATCGTACGAATATCCAATATCGCAAAGGATCACCATCGAACTTGACAAGTTCAGAAGTTGAAAAGCATCAAACATCTTCTGTTGCATTAACCACATGTGTGACTGGGAAGGCTGAGGAGATTGAACGGTTTCCTGATCCGCTTGATTCACGACTGGCAATGAATTGTGAATAGGCTGTTGATGACCACTAAGTATCCATGGGTCAGCTGACGGATTAAGAGTTTCACCTTTATCTTTGACAACCGAATCATCATTCTGAGTTAAACCTTTAAATGTGTCATCATCTTTGTGAACAACTGTACCCTTTGCTAAATTAGCATCTAAGTCAACTTCAACCTTCAGACCTTTCAACAAACTAGGATCAGCCTTTGAACCTTTCAACAAGCTAGGATCAGCCATATCATACACCTTCTCTTTAGCCGCTGTTGCCTGTAATTCACTCTCAAACTATATCTTCTCTTGAGCTAACTCAGTTTGCTGCCTCTTAAGTGCCTGTTTTTTCTCTAACATTTCAGCTTTAGCTTACAACGCAGCTTTCTTGACCTTAACTATTAACCTGGAGCTAGAACTTGACATTGCACTTTTGCCAGTGTTACTGACAGAGTCATTTGGCTTAATATTTTCTTCAGCATGCAAATCTATCCAAGTTTTGACCTCACCGTTTAACAAGTCATAATTGAGTTCTACTTCCTCATCATACCTATGAGCCTCTACAATGTCATCGGGATTATCTTTCAACAAATCAATCAAACTCATTGTTCTTAATCACTAAATTGTTCAAAGTTTGTTTTATAACTTTAAATGTTGATTCAACATCATCAACTTCAGAAGTGTTCATCAAGTCTTTAAGCTTCTTCATCTTGCTCGTAAGTACACCTCTAATCCGACCTCTCTCCTGTCTAAGAGTTTTTACCACAGCAATATCACCACGTTCATTAGTTTCCTGGTGTTTCATGTTGATATTCAGAATTACCCAGTCTACCAAAACGGCGAACAAAATCGTGAAATTTCTTGAACTGATGTTAGGTTACAGTTTCTTGTTACACTGCAGTTTATTTCCGTCAAGATGCGTTTGATTACTTGAACAGTATATGTCATGCAGCCGGTTCAAGCTTAAACCATATGTAACGGGGATGGCTCTGATTCAACGACACAACTCCGTTGAGCCTGTAAGTCCGGATTTATTACTGTAGTTTGTATAAATAATACAAGTCTGAAACAATGTATATGAATATATAATTCTCCATCAAAATATCTATTCCATCACATTCATTTCATTGCACATTGTTCAGACAATTAACATTTGCAGTACTACCACTGAACATATAAAAAGAACTCAAAACAAATAGACATCACAAAATGAATGGTTCAGTTACATATTGAGATTCTTAGGAATTATGGAACACATTTGGCATCTTCAAAACAACAATGAAACATCAACTCGTCCTACCATCTATGGGACAACTTGTTTCAAACTGGCCACATGTTGTGAGGCACCCAAAAAACCACCAAGGCCCTTAAATATGTATGTTTTAAATAGCATGGAAATGCTAATTCTCACCAGTAAAGTTAACGTACAATCTGTTTGGACTCAAACATTATTCTGAATCGATTGTAAGTGAAACTATTGACACCAACAATTTCTAACCATAGGTCAAAATATACCTCCACCAAATGCATAAATTCAGCTACAATAAATACTGAATTAACCTTTCTACAATTAAACATATTGTAGTTTATTCGTTTTATATAAAACCAAGTGTAACTAACCTGTAATTCACCAAAGTCACAATCCTCCATCTATGACTTTCAAACCACTTTGCCAGGTTGGGAAAAAGACAGCAAGTGAACAAACTTCACACTTTCCAAATGCAACTAAATTCAACATCCAATCAAGATACTGCACATCTTCAGGAAATGAAAACCAAGGACAAGATAGCAGACCTGACCTCCTTAAGACTTGGCTACTTTGCATGGGAACTACATTTGACCCATGACCCAGTGGTGACTATGAATAAATCATGGACTTGTGAAAATGTAAACCTTTTCACTGACAATTGTATTATTGTTTCAGGTGTTATTAATTGATTCCAAACAGGAACATAAGAGAAGACATATTAAAATATATTGCTTTTCCAGAACATTTTACAATTTGTATATTTTGTACTTGTTACACATACATAACATGATTTACCAAATGTTGGATAAAGGTACATCATGAATAATTGTTCAGGCTCAAATACAAATTATGAAAAAATAACTTTGCTTTTGACACATTAGTTTACAAGTCAAAGTTACACTGTCAACACATTTATTTACATTCAAAGTTACGACAATTCTACAACTAATACACCAAATGGACAACAGTTCTCCCGAAATGATGACAATGCATGACTCATATGAAGGGTAATTCCAAATTTCGTGGCATAATCATTTTGGTTTCGGTCTAATTGCATCAGTTTAGCTCCCAAGACGATGCTCGTCACCGAAAAAACAGGCCAAGTGCCTTTTTTGCCTGCCTGCTTGCTTAACCTCACCGCAGTTATCTCCCCTAGAAGTCACCAATCTCACAGAAATTATCTCCCTTAGTACTTCCAACTGCTCTACCTGTAACCAAGACCTTTAAACTAGGGAAATTGAGATCACAGTTTCAAAATTGAAATTGTTAAAGTTAAAACTGACTTATTGAGGCTACAAGGTGTAGTTGTTTTAACACCAAGTCTATGTCGCATTCAAGTGTTAGGAGGACTTATTCATGAGAATTCTCAAGTACAATCAACAATTCTTGGAATACTACATCTAACACTTGGGGTAATGGCTCG